AGAGAAACAAAAGTTCCCTTGATGGCATTTATTCTTATATTTCTAGAGTGTGGAGTAGTGGATAGAGATTAGTAGAGGTGGAAAATCCTGGTGACTTATTATAAATATCACTGACACTATTTTATGAGGCTGTTGGCATCTTTTGCCATTCATGCAGTTACTACTTCAGATCTGTCTGATCTGTCAGTCATTCAGAATGTGTTGCTCAGAAAACATGGCGTTCTTACAGTAGAACAGGCTCAGTGCAAAAGAGGGAAAAACAAGCATGGTTTTCTGAGGAAGAGAGAATATGCAAAATGCAATGTTTCTTATGCAATAAAGTTTCTTTTTAATAAACATAGAATTCCATTTAAAGATTATAAGTCCATCTGGTAAGATTCTTGGTTCCAAATGTAATCCTCCTTTTTATCATATTCTCATTTTCTAGGGAGAAAATCCTCCACCCCCGGGTTTCCTCATGCACGGAAACATTAACCCGAACGCTGCTGCTCAGCGTCCCACATCTCCAGGTCACGTGCACACCCAGGGACCACCGTACCCACAGCCACAGCGTAAGTAATGGGACCCTGACGTCCCATCATAGCAGCATTTCTTATCTGATACAGCAGCCATTTACTCCGAAGCCCCAGAGTCATGGTCGAATCAATGTTGACAAAGTAAGAACCATTCTGGGTGGGCCTTCTGAGTCCCTGCTGTAGAGAAGCACGGTTTGCCTAAGCGACATCCTGAATCGACACGCTAGGAAGCAGATCCCGCATCACTCTGCTCAGAACAGTTGATTACTGTTCCTGAGCCATTACTCAGACCTGTTAAACAGTCAAATGTCCCATGGTTTTGGTATAAAAAACTGGAATTTTAGGAATTATTTTGTACATACTCTTTCCCTTTCGGAAAAATGGTTTCAAGGGGCATTTGTTGTTGTCTTTCCATTTTACTTATTTATTTATTTATTTAGTTAGTTAGTTAGCAAGCTAGTTAGCAGACTGGGTTTTTTAGAGCAGTCTTAGGTTCAAGGCAAAATGAAGCAGAAAGTACAGAGTACCCACATATGTACAACCTCTCCCACTGTTGACATCCTTTACTACAGGGTGGTATATTTGTCACAACCGATGAATCTACACTGACACCGCATTAGCACCCAAAGCTTACACTAGTGTGCACACTTGATGTTCTACATTCTGTGGGTTTTGACAAATGTTTGATGACATGTATCCACCATTGGCTTTTGTTTTTGTTTTAGAAAATAGTTGCACTTAGAAAGTAAAAAATCACCACTATTTCAGAATTTAAATTAGGAGCAAAAAAATAAAATAAAAATCTCAAAGGGGAAGATTATAAGACTGAACAATTACTGCTAAAACAAGAGGTCATTACCTGGTAAGAACTAATCTTAATGAGTATGTTCTATGCTAAAGTAGATGTTCTTACTCCACTTAGACTTATGCTAAAGTGGGTGAATGCAAATTTGATACAAACTTTCCCTCCAGCGCTTAATGTGAATGCTGTCTTCAGAGTACTGTTAGGAAACAGATACGCTGCTACTGCGCTCACTCTGCAGGGGCTCCTACCTACCCCTGGTCATGCAGACCGTGATGGTATTAAGATCTCCCTAATCTGAGTTTAGGTCTTTGCGTTAAAACATTAGTTGGCTGCCATGCCTGATTGTTTACTAACCAACTATATATAATATGTAAAATGTTATGTAGTAATCATTTCATCAGGGATTGTAGCGTTGACTCTTAATCTGGAACTGTGCTGAAACTCAGAATTGGCGTAGCTGGTGATTTGACTGGATGTCGGAGAAGATACTGGATTCGTAACAGTAGTGCTCCCCCTCCAGTTGCTATGGGGGGGAGGTCTTGAGCTGCCACCAAACTCCGTGTGACTCTTCTGTAAAGTGGGCTGCTTTCAATGTGTGATTCCTGCATGGTTCCATCTGGTGGCCACTGTAGTCTTTGCACAGGAACGGGAACAGTCTCAGAAAAGGGTCAGTCTTGCAGTTCTTGGGTCTGATGATTCACAGACTTTCATAACCAACAATTTGGGGATGGCATTTTTACTTATTGGACCTAATGATTTTAAGTATATTTAGGGCATCTGAGCCTCAAAAACATAACATATGATAAATGTTAATTTGGGGTTGTAACTTACTGTTATAAGAATAATTATTAAAATCACTTCCATAGAATGAGGTAACTTTTTTGTTTTCTGCTGCTATCTGAATAAACTTGTAACTAATTAAAATTTCTGTTTCTTCCCCTTGATGTAGCTTGTCAACCAGCCCAGCAGTATTCCTTCGGAACAGGGGGGTCAGCAATGTACCGACCTCAGCAGCCCGTTGCTCCTCCTGCTTCGAACGCTTACCCTAACACCCCTTACGCACCTTCTGCTGCTTCCTATTCTGGGCAGTCTCAGCTGTATGCAGCTCAGCACCAGGCCTCTTCGCCCAACTCCAGCCCTGCTCCTGCTTTCCCTCCTCCCCCTTCCTCTGGAGCATCCTTCCAGCATGGCGGGCCAGGAGCTCCACCGTCATCTTCAGCTTACGCCCTGCCTCCTGGAACAACAGGTACACTGCCTGCTGCCAGCGAGCTGCCTGCGTCCCAAAGAACAGGTCTGCGCTTGAAAGGGATATGGTTTGGCTCCCTGCTTTATTTTTTCACGAACAGATGGGTGGATGGAGGGCTGTTATTTGTGGTTGCAAACTGCATACTGTGAGGTGTTGACTGAGTTTTTATAACAGATTCCAGTACTGTTTATAAAAGTGTGATTTCCCCATAATGAACTGTATTTGCTAAATGAGGAGAGCTTCGGAGCTTCAAAAGGGTAAGAGTGTGTAATCTACCATTGAACTCAAAATAAGTGGTAAGAAATTAATTGGCA